GGTTCTCCGCATCAGGTGGCCAAAGTATTGGAGCTTCAGCTTCAGCATCAGTCCTTCCAATGAACATTCAGGGTTGATTTTCTTGAGGATCGACTGGCTTGATCTTGGTAGTCCAAGAGACTCTCAAGAGTCTTCTCCAACACCACAGTTCGAAAGCATCAGTTCTTCAGTGCTCAGCCTTCTTTATGGTCCAACTCTCATATCCATACATGACTACTGGAAAAACCATAGCCTTGACTAGACAGACCATTGTTGGTGAAGTAATATCTCTGCTTTTTAATATGCTATCTAGGTCGGTCATAGCTTTTCTTCCAAGGAGCAAGCGTCTTTTGGTTTCATGGCTGCAGTCACCATCTGCAGTGGATTTGTAGCTCAAGAAAATAAAGTCTGTCACTGTTTCCATCGTTTCCCCATCTATCTGCCATGAAGTGATGGGACTGGATGCCATTATCCTCATTTTTTGAATGTTGAATTTTAAGCCAGCATCCATCCATTGGCTCTTTCGGGGAGAAGAAAGCTGTTATTTCACGTCAGCAGGTTCTGGGTGCCTAATCTAGTGCCTAGGCACTGTGCTGAGTGCTGGAGAAAGATAAGTAGGACAAGGTTCTTGCATTAGGGTTTTCCAGGAGTTATTTCTGTGAACCAAAACAGTTGAACTGGTCTTCTCACCTGTCTCTCATTCCCGCTCTTCTTGCCGTTGGGTCAGGGCTTTTCTCTTTCCTTGTTTTACTTATTTCTGTGTTACTGTTTCACATTAGACAGTACAAAACTCAAAAGGCGAAAAGGACATACAGTGAAAATAAGTCTGTCCACAGCCCTGTCTCTGACCCCTGGAACTTCTTTCCTGGGAGGCAGCCACTATTCCACATGTCCTGTGGGGATTTCATGGTGAAGAACAGCACTAACACAATGGTTAGGTCCATTTGGACAGGAACTTCTGGAAAGTTGCACAGGGTAGTGTTTTTTGAGCTCTTGTTTAAGTTGCTGAGTGTGACTTAGTTTTATTTCTAGAAAAGCCTAAAATTGGTAAGTTTGGGTGATAGATGCAGAGGGTTCATATTGCTTGACATGCATCTGCATTATTTCAGGTAACTCCTCACTGGATATTTTGGTTACCACGGGGTTTCTTCTGCTGCTGGGGTTCTTGTTCGTTACAGTCAAGTCCTCAAAGCCTTTCCTGTTCCACCGGAAGTGATGCAGTCCCATCTTGTGTGAAACTCTTGGGTTTCACATCCTGAATAAAACATTGAAAATCAATGGAAATAAGCTTTCAGCTTTGTAAGCTGAGCCGAGGCCTAAAGTCTCTCCTGCACCATTTGGAGTTACACGGGCAAGCCTAACTTTTCAGGACGCAGGTACTGTTTGTGTCTAGGTTGGTTACATATGAATGACTTTGTACCTGGGACTCACGTCCTCTTCTCCAGGATTCCCTCCTGATCGTTACATCTTAGGTCTTCCCTTCTAGTTTAGGGACAATGTGACACAGATGTATAGGTTGTTCGGCAATGCCTTTTTACTCGCGTATCCTGTTTAGATGTTTCCAGCAGCTTCTTAAGCACCCGTTGCTGGTGTTGCCTAAGACCTTTCCGTCGCCCTAGCTAGTAAGGCAGCACTTCAGCGGCTGGACACCAACCACATCCTCTGGTGAAATGGACTCTTGGGTTCTGTTCAGAATTTCTCAAAGACCAAATATGTCAGAAATGAAGCCTGGGCCTCATTTGTTTTAATATTATTTATTTGGCTGTGCTGGATCTCATTTGTGGTGTGTGGGATCTCGTTCCTGGACCCGTTCCCCACAGGCCCCCTGCACTGGGAGCTCTGAGTCTTAGCCACTGGTCCACCAGGGAAACCCCAAGGGTGTGCCTCTCATGCAGATTACTTTCTAGTCCAAACTCTTCTACGGTCCTCCTCTTTCTCCTGGTGCCCAAGTGCTGTGTGGAATAGAGTTTTCTCTTTTGCCTTTGGCCCTGGTAAAATTTCATCTTGGTGACCTTTGATGCCCTGGAGAAGGGGCTGGCTGCCCACTCCAGTATTCTTTCCTGGAGAATTCCATGGACAGGGGAGCTTGGCCGGCTGCATTCTGTGGTTCTTCAACATCTTGGTGACCTTAGCAGGTCATCAAAATGATGATGAGTTACTGTCGACTTTTAAGACTAACTTGCGGTTGATGGTGAAGCGTGTGTAGGGGTCCGATGCCCCATCCCACTGAGGATTTCAGATGAGATCTGTTTGTGCTGCTCTTCTGCAGGGGTGTTGGTTTTTTACCTCTCTGAACCTCAGTGTCGTCCTCCATGAAACCAGAACTGTCACGGCTTAGGGCTTTGGGGAGAAGCTAATTCAGGCGGCCGCCGCTGCTGCAGTGCTGGCCCTGGCCAGTACCTCGTAACTACCACTTCCGTCTCGTGGCGGAGGACTGTTGATCCTCTAGCCTGTAGTGGTTTATTGCATGTGAGCAAGAGAAGAATTGAAGGTGACTTTGAGGTTTCTTCGTGGCTATATGATAGTACTGTTTAATAAACTAGGACATACAGGAAAATGGACAGAATTTTAGTGAAAGGAACATTCAGTTTTCAATTTGTCAAGCTGAAGATGCCTGTGAGAAATTCAATTCCAGCCTTTAGAAGACTTTAATATATGGTTGGAGGTTAGCACTAGAAATACCATCCTGGGATTCATTGGCATCTAGATGGAAATGGGTGTATAAAATGAAAAATTTGCTTTGGGGAAAGCTTATAGACGAAGGAGAAGGCTGAGCACGGAAGCTTTCAAAAGCCAGCAGTACAAGGAGAATGCCAGCTGTGTTGTGGAGGGAGAGAGGAGAAAGGAGCGATGGAAGAACCTGCAAAACCAAGCAGGAGACTGTGAGGGTGTTCTGCACCAGTGTTTCTCATAGTGTGTGCCCCAGGCCACCAGCGTGAGGGTCTGTTTCTCCACTGGGCCCTGAAGGCACAGTGCGTAGGATCCACACACTTTTCTGGGGCCTCTGAACACAGGAGTGACCCAAAAAGGTGAACATCCTGCAAGCACAAAGCTATAAGGAGCCTTTCAAAGGAAAACCAGAAATTGTTTAATATGGGCCAAGGGTGCATTTAAATATGTTTGAAATGGTTTAGAGGTCGGTGTGTCCGCATGCTCAGTCGTGTCCGCCTCTTTGTGACCCCATGGTCTGTAGCCCACCAGGCACCTCTGTCTGTGAGGATTCTCCAGGCAAGAATACTGCAGTGGATTGCCATTTCCTTCTCCAGGGGATCTTCCTGACCAGGGGATTGAACCCATGTCTCTTGCATTTGGCAGGCAAATTCTGACTCCAAGGGTAAGAGTGCCGGTGTCCCAAAGGCTTCAAGATAGCGTCAAACTCGAATCAGAATCCCCTGGGGCACCAGTTCCCGCCACCCTCTCTGTCCTTTCTCCCTATCCCACCCCCCCACCCCCACCTCCCCAGCAAGTGGATCCGAGGCATCTTCATTTTTTAATAAGCCCACAAGGAGGTGGAAACACTTGTTCAGTGCTAGCTGATGTGTGATGTTGCGAATTCCTGCCAAGGCCGCAACGTGCCCAGGCCCTGCTCAGAACTTTCACCCTGCTCTGACCCACCCTCCTCTCCTCTTCCTCGATTTTCACCAGGTTTAGGTAGTGCTCACTTGCGTTTTACCATATAATTACTATTGGACCAAAGCTCCTTGTCTCTCTGTATCCGACACGTTTAGAAACCTGAAAGGTTTTAAAAAAAAAGAAAACTGAAAGGTTTTAAAAAATCTTTGCACGAAACTCACTCAGACTTCACTGAGTAGACATGACCTATCTTCTTTTATTTATCCCCTCTTGTTTGACTGTTCATACATCCCACTGCAGACTTACTTATCTGTCTTGGGGCAGTTGGAGACTCAAGTGACCTCATCAGCGTATGCCTTTGGAACTACAAGTTCCTTTAGGGTTTTGCCTCCCTGACCACCACCACCCCATTACCCCAGGGTCTGTGTCCCCTCCCCGTCCACCCCCGAGAGCTTGCAGGGGACATAGGGAATTTGAATGTATGCCTGCTGGCTGGGATGGTTAAATTTATTTGAAGATTTGAATCAGTGATGTCATCCAGCTATCTCATTCTCTGCTGCCCCCTCCTCCTCCTGCTCTCAATATTTCCCAGCATCAGGGTCTTTTCCAATGAGTCAGCTCTTCACATCAGGTGGCCAAAATATTGAAGCTTCAGCTTCAGCATCAGTCCTTCCAGTGAATATTTAGGGTTGATTTCCTTCAAGATTGACTGGTTTGATCTCCTTGCTGTCCAAGGGACTCTCAAGAGTCTTCTCCAGCACTATAGTTTGAAAGCATCAATTCTTCTGCACTCAGCTTTCTTTGTGGTCCAGCTGTCACATCCGTACATGGCTACTGGAAAGACCATAAGCTTGACTATATGAACCTTTGTCAGCAAACTCATGTCTTTGCTTTTTAACACACTGTCTAGGTCTGTCAGCTATACCCTAATACAAAGTAAAAAGTCTACAGTAAAAAAATACATACAGTAAAGTGCAAATTTCCCTCATTTGATGGACAAAATGTGAGATTTCAAAGCAGTTCTGATACTGTGGTTTGGGTGGGGAACTTCTTCATCCTTCTTGGCTGGGGTGCTCAAGTGCTGCCTCACTCAGAACCCTGACAGTTGGCGTTGCTGCGTTGCTCACTGGCTGGACTTCCGGTTTTTGTGCTTGTAAAGTTCCTGGGGCCACACAGGATGGCTCGAAGAAGGGATAACACTAGCCTCAGTCAGACTGGCTCGCGAGAAAGAAAGATGCCCCGAAGTGAAGGCCAGGAGGTCAGTTGTGTCGCCCAGAGGCTGAATGTGGCAATGTGGCCAGGATCCCCGGGTTGCTTTCCAAAGCTGTGTCTTCAGGCAGCTTGTCGACCTCCCGTCACTCTCTGTTGCTCTGCCTGTTTGATTAAGTGTGGTTACAGGTGTCCTTTCTCACCCTACTCTGTGCATTGTTGCCGTGTTTCGTTTCCAGCAGGCGATAAGGAATGGCGGCAGCTATGGGGGACCCCAGCCTCTCCAGACTGCAGTTCGCCCCCTTCAGCAGTGCCTTGGACGTTGGCTTCTGGCATGAGCTGACCCAGAAGAAGCTGAATGAGTACCGGCTAGACGAAGCTCCCAAGGACATTAAGGGTTATTACTACAACGGTAGGCGATAGGAAGCTCCATTCTTCTCTCACCTTCTCCGCCCAGTGTAGGGCCGGCTGTCCTTCAGAATGGGATGTCCTGGACTTTTACCGTTAATGCTGTCCCCTGGTTTCTGCTTTACTTCCTGACTGTTTGACCCATGTTCACTTCTTTTGTCCTTATTGGGAAAAGAAAGGGAGAAGCCAGTGTATTAATCGAACGAGTTAATACCCTTTACTGAGTATCGCTGGGGAAGGGGATTGGAAACACTCTCCCCAGTGAATCTTTGCTTCAATATTCTTGGCAAGTACCTTGGATTCACAAAAGCCGTCATCTGCCGCTGAGTCCTTGTTCAGCTCGGGTGGCTGGAAATTGGATGGAGCCCTTTGGGCTTCACCAGGGAGAGAAGCGATCCGCAGATGTTTTCGCTGCAGAGGCTGCTGTGACTGACTCATGACTGAGCGTGTAAATGCTTCCTTCTAGGAGACTCTGCGGGGCTGCCAGCTCGCTTAACGTTGGAGTTCAGTGCTTTCGACATGTGAGTATTTTTTTACCGAAGTCTAAAATAGAGAACACTGATTTTTGCAAGGAGTGAGGTTCTTAACTTTCATTGTAGGTGGGCCGCGGGGCGATCCACAGAAGCTTCCGGTGAGCAGGGCTGGTGTCTCGTGGTTCTCTTGTACCTCCCATGGCACAGAGACAAGTGCTGGGTGCTCAGGACTGTCTGGTTCATTTTTTCAGCACGTATTTATCAGAGCCTATTAGGTGCAGCAGTGAGCATTTCTTAGACTACTTCTGTATACAAGTTACTGTGCAAGGCATTGTAGGGATGTACAGAGAAATGCGACATAATGTCCTCACAGAGGTTTCTTTAACTCACTGGGGACCATGGGGAGTTTCTGGAGACAAGAAACACATTTATTGCCTTAATTACTGACTTATTTTCTAGACATAATCCTTTCAGACCTGCCAGGCATGGTTTTCTTGCCTTTCACAGGTGAGGAAACCACGAGTGCAAAGGTGAAGTGACTTACCCAAGTCATTTAGACATGGCTCAATTTAGGAAGCAAGGGTGAGAGAAAAGTGACCAGTATTTCTGAGGTTGTGGTCTGAGTAGCTGGGGGCAATTTCTTATTTTCTGTAGAAACCAAGAAGCCAGGAGGTGGCTGCAGTTTGGGGAGGGGGTAAATTTGGTTTAGGCCATGTTGAGTCAGAGATGACAGAGTCCAGTAGAAACGTCTGGAAGGCACTGGCTCCCGGGAGGGTGGGTCGTCCACGTAGAGATCCTGAGGCTGTAAGAGAGGAAGAGACTGTAGCAGAAGGAGAAGGAAGGGCAGTGACAGGGACCAGACCTGGTCAGGGAGGGCAGAGACACAGAACTCGCCAAAGAGACGTGACTTGCTGGAGAAGAAGAACCAGAGATGGTGTTTTCAGGAAGAGGGTCAACACTGACAGAATCGGAAAGGTTAGAGTTCAGTGCTGGAGTCACCGGAATTGTTGATTGGGTTGTGTGAGAAACTAAATTCTGCACCTGGGGGCAGAGCAGAAGTCTTGTCAAGAACTGAAGGATTAAAGGCTGCCGGGAGGGAGGCGTCTTTTTCTGCTCCCTCATGTGTTTGCTGTGTGAGGGTGGGGGATAAGGGGAACATGAAGAGGTATTTGTAAAGACTACCTGAAAATGGAGATAATCAAAGAATCGTCGTTGTTCAGTCAGTCAGTCATGTCCGACTTTTGTGAATGAACCCTTGGACTGCAGCATGCCAGGCTTCCCTGTCCTTCACCATCTCCCAGAGCCTGCTCAAACTCATGTCTTTTGAGTCGGTGATGCCATCCAACCATGTCATCCTCTGTCGTCTCCTTCTCCTTCTGCCCTTAGTCTTTCCCAGCATCAGGGTCTTTTCTAATGAGTCCAGTCTTTGCATCCAGTGGCCAAAGTCCTGGGGCTTCAGCTTCAGCATTAGTCCTTCCAGTGAATATTCAGGGTTCATTTCCTTGAGGACTGACTGGTTTGATTTCCTTACTGTTCAATGGACTCTCAAGAGTCTTCTCCAACACCACAGTTCAAAAGCATCAATTTCTTCATCACTCAGCCTTTGTTATGGTTCAACTCTCACATCCATACATGACTACTGGAAAAGCCATAGCTTTGACTATATGGACCTTTGTTGGCAAAGTGATGTCTCTGCTTTTTAATATGCTGCTTAGGTTGGTCATAGCTTTTCTTATGAGGAGCAAACGTCTTTTAATATGAAATTTAGATGAAATTAAGATGGCTGCAGTCACCATCTGCAGTGAGTTTGGAGGCCAAGAAAATAAAATCTATCCCTGTTTCCATTGTTTCCCCATCTATTTGCCATGAAGTGATGGGACTGGTTAGTCAAAGATTAGGGTATTTCAAATGAAGTTTCCCTGGAATTTGAAAACAAAAAATCTCTTGAAAAGTCAATACATTTTATTCCTCTGTCACAATCAAATTGTGAAACTAAATTGCACAACTTGAATCGAAAATGATGTTAGTCTTTGCACCTTTAAAAGATGTGTTTTGATATTTCTTGTTCCCTTCAGAGCTTTCTTGCTCCATAATAAATCCTTGTGATTGCGCGTCAAAGCAAAAAATCCTAGTCATCTCTCTCCTGCGTCAGCAGAGATTGACTGACTTCGGAGCAATCACAAAATAATGAGGAAAATGCATTCAGCGTACAGTCTTAAATTACCTGAGGGTAATACATGGGGTAGTGTAGTTCTAGTATAACCCGGAGGGTCCAACATTCCTCAGAAGCTGCCCTCACTCCCGTCTATTCTTTTTTTTAATGTATAATTTGATGTATTTATTTATGGCTGTGCTTCGTCTCCGTGTGGGCTTTGCTCTAGTTGTGGCGAGTGGGCTTCTCCCTGCGGGGGCTTGTCTTGTTGCGGAGCACAGGCTATAGGGTGCGTGGGCTTCAGCAGTTGCAGCCCGTGGGCGCTAGAGCACAGGCTTCATCGCTGTGGTGCACGGGCTTAGGGCTTAGCTGCTCTGCAGAATGTGGGATCTTCCCAGATCGGGGGTCAAACCTGTGTCTCCTGCGTTGGCAGGTGGAGTCTTATCCACTGAGCCACCAGGGGAACCTGCTCCTGTCTCTTCTGACACTAGTTGAAAGGTTATTATTTTTTTGAGTTTCAATAATTTTATTCTTCAGCACAACTAATTATAGGGGGAAAAAAAACTATTCACAGAAGTTAGGCTTGATTTTGTGGCAAAATCCAGGTTTCTTAAACCTTACAATCCAGAAATTTTAGCTGAAGGAGATAAAGTCTGTGATCCCATGGCTGTGGTTTTCTCCCAGATGGCCTGATTTTCTTGGTCATCATTTGTCAGTTAGCTGTTGAATATTCACTGCGTGTGAGGCTCTGTGGTAGGCACTGGGGGAAGTGACTAAGAATTAAGACATGGGAGTCCTGGATTGGAAGCTTGACGGCTTGGAATCTACCCCTGATTAACTGCCCTACCTGGAATGAGTCTTGTTCATTTTCTCAGCTTCAGTTTCCTCATCTGCAGCTCCCAACTTCTAAATGTTCCTTTCAGTTTTAAAAGTCTGATTTTCTTCCTTTCTTTTTTATTTTTAAATTCAACTTTTTTGTAAAAGTCTGTGATATTCTGACTCCCCCTTTCTTAGGATTATTGGTGCCATGGTCTAAACGGTGTTCTTCAAAAGCACATATGTTGAAAACCCAGGGCCCAAGGTTACGGTCTGAAGAAGTGGGCCTTTGGGAGGTGGTGAGGGCAGGGCTCTCAGGAATGGAGTTAGTGACAGGGACCCCAGAGACCTAGCTCACCCCCCCACCCTGTGAGGACACAGCTGAAGCGGAAGAAGGTCTTTGGTGGCACTTTGATCTTGGACTTCCAGCTTCCAGAACCCTGAGGGATAAACGTCTGTTGTTGGCAGCCCCCCAGTCTGTGGTGTGGTACAACCTCTGCCCAGGCAGACTGAGACAGTCAGGAAGTTTACTGAAAGCCCTTGGAGCTCCTCTGGAGAAACGAGGTCTTTGTATCCAAATTGTTACGGTCATGATTGTTCTTTCTTTGCGTTTATTGCTGAGCATGTGTGTGGGTTTGTGGGGGAAATCTCCCTGCATTTATTCATCAAACACTGAATGTTTCTTGTGTGCAGACAAGTAGGTGGTAGGAATACAAAGACTTAAGCCAACAGGGGACTCTGAAGGAGCTCTGCATGGAGGTGGAAGACAGGTATTAGCATCACAGGGTATGCAGTAAACATGGGGGGCTGATGGTTGGTTCAGAAATGCTTATTGATTGCTTCCGCTGGGTCCTGATGATAGAATGTGCCGGGCCTCAGACATACAGAGAAGCATAAGATGCCATTTGGAGAGCTAACAGCCTGAGTCCTCCTCTGTAGATGCCAGGTGTACCTCAACTTTGCATAGCGCCAGTGAAACCCCTCTCACTCTGAGATCCCGGAAGCCAGATGACCCTCTGCCAGCAGTTGGCATCACAGGGTCCCATTATCTGCCTTGTTTTGGCTGAATTATCGGTCACACTTGGCTGATTTGACCCGGCACCGACTGTCCTGCGCTGGAGCAAGCTGTCTTAGGCTGGCACGCTAATGAACCAGACCCCAATGCGTAATGGCCCTAACACAGAGGGAGTCTCTTTCTTACCTGCTTAGTAGTCCAGGCGGGGGCCGGGGGGCGGAGGCGGCCCAGTCTTTTTCTGTCTTGTGGCTCCATGGTCCTGGAGGGCTTGCCTTTGTGTGCTGCTGAGAATGGAATTGTCACCTTCCGGTGGCAAGAGAGAGGTGGTGCAAGAGAACCAAAGTGGAAATCTGAGGAGACACCCCCAACTCTCTTAAAGACCCTAAATAGCTGGGGTGAGCGTGGGGTTGGGGGGCATGTATCACCCCACTCACGTTCTGTCAGGCAGAGCTGAGGCCTCACCATCCTGCAGGGGAAGCTGAGACATGGTGCCAAGCTACAGGCATCAGAGCATTACTTCTATATAAAGAGAGAGAAGTAGACTTTGATGGACAATCTCTGTACAAATTTAAAGCTAGTGAAAAAAAAAATCCTTTGCTTTGAGGAACATTTACCTAGATTTTTATTTTTAAAATATATAGCATCTTTTCAGAATGGTTTTTAATGAATTAACTTTTTATTTTTGGCCATGCTGAGTCTCCGCTGCCGCACAGACTTTCTCTAGTTGTGACGAGTCGGGGGCTATTCTCTGGATGTGGTATGCAGGCTCATCATTGTTGTGGAGCATGGGCTGTAGGACATGTGGACGCAGGAGTTGTGATACACAGGCTTTATTGCTCCGTGGTATGTGGGATTTTCCTGGACCAGGGATTGAATGGTTGTCTCCTGCATTGCAAGGCAGATTCTTAATCACTGGACCACTAGGGAATCCCAACATTTATCTAATTAGTGATAAGACATATTTTCCTTTTCTAAGCTTCAGGTTGGGCTTAATAAGATAAATAGAAGGCATAACCCTTGCGTTCAGAGACCTTAAATAGTGACTGAAGAAATATGGCTCATTTGCTAGATCATCTGTGCAGGACACAGGCCCTCTTATTTTTTTCACCATCTTACCAGCACCTAACGCAGGTCCGACATGGACTGGCCACTCAGATAGCCATTGGCATCAATTGCAAGAAGTCTGAGGGCCTGGCTGTCAAAATGGGACGTGGCATGGCTGGTGGAAATGCACCCATGGACCCCGTTAGAGGCCGTGATGACCAGAAGCTCAGAGATGGTTACAGAAGCAGGAGATCATGCAGTAGGGTCCCTGGACTGAGTGTGACTTGGACTTCAGAGCTCCCCGCGGGCAGGTGAGACTATGCACACATGGTCAAGGCTTCTCCAGATTCATTCCATCCCAGCCACCCTCACCGCCTGTCTGTCCTGGAGAATCTGGCCATGTGTCTGCCCTTTGCCCAGGAAGTTACATAATAGCCCTTGTGCTTTCCTGAGTCATCACTGTGAGGCTGAGTGATGTTGAGGACCTGGGGTCCAGCGAAAACATGCCCGGCTTCAGGCCTTTGTAGGATCTGATCTTTTCCCCAGCTCGGGTTAGTGTGTTCACTAGCTAGTTAGAGCTCACTGCAGGCTGTAGGATATGGGGCAGACGTCCGATGCTAGTTTTCTAAAACAGCTCTATTGAGGTATACTTTACGTATCGTGTGAACTCCCCTGGTGGCTCACAAGGCAAAGCGTCTGCCTACAGTGCAGGAGACCCGGGTTTTATCCCTGGGTCGGAAAGATCTCCTGGAAAAGGAAATGGCAACCCAATCCGGTACTCTTGCCTGGAAAATCCCATGGACGGAGGAGCCTGGTAGGATACAGTCCATGGGGTTGAGAAGAGTCGGACGTGACTGAGCAACTTCACTTCACTTTATGTACCATACAATTTACCCATTTAAAATGTACAATTCAGCACTTAGTATATTCACGAGGTGCAGGCGCCACCACTGCACACTTTCGTCACCCCAAAGAGAAGCCCTGTGCCCTTAGCAGCCACTCCCCATCCCTCCCTTCTGCCTTCCCCCTGCTCTAGGCAGCCACGACTCTGCTGTCTGTCTCTATGGATTTGGCTGCTCTGGACATTTCACAGCAGTGGCATCACAGCAACCTAAACTCATACATGTCCAGGCGCAGGATTTGGACTAAGCTCTCTAGTTTCCAAATCTAGGGCTCTTTCCAGTCCTCCTCTGAGCCACCTCTTCCTGCTACAAGTGGAACTTGAACCTGGAGAAGCTACTGGAATGACTTTCCCTCCCAGTATCACATTTTAAGTTCTTTCCTCTGGCCACCTCTCCGGGTGGAGCTTTAGCCTTGAAAAGTGCTTCTCCTCCGAAACTCACTAATGAGGTCACACAAGGGCTGACGTCCTGGCAGCTGCTTGACTCCTCATGCTTTAGTTTCCTCCGCTCTCAGCTCTCACAGCAAGCTTCGGCTTGGCATCCAGGGTATGTGGACGCTAGGAGGGCGGGTACCACATTTGATCAGAGCATCCTTCTCTGTTTCTCTAGTCATTTCATGAAGCCATGTCTGCGTGTAGAAGAACCATGTCTGCCTGTAGAAGCCTGGTTTGCCAGCTGCTAAGCTTCCTTTTTCTTCCCTCTCAGTCTAGTCTTGTCCTTTTCTGATTTCTTTTTTCTCTTCAAGTCTGTCCTTGATGTCCTCATCTCACCTGAGTAAAGAATATTCTTCTATTGTGGTAGAGTGGTGACACATACAACCTATGAGCCACTGACTCATCAGCTCCCAGAGGCAAGCTCTGGCCTTTGAAAGTTGCTTCTCCCAGGACTTGGCATTTGAGCCTTGGAGACAGCATTTGGCAGAACCTCCTCACCCGTCACACCCCTCCACACCTGCTGCAGGTTTAGATCTCTCTAAACCTGCAGCCCCACCCCCCTTCCCGAGCCCCATTTTACGTGCTCAGAAGGGAGAAGCGCTAGGTCTGGCGAGCTGCCGTCAGTGTGAGCAGTGAGCACGTTCTGCAGTGGTTGTGACCGCAGCGTGCCTCTTGTCATAGGGTGAGCACTGTTCTCGGCAAACAGCTGTAAGCTCTGTGGCTCAGTGGTGAAGAACCCTCTGCGAATGCAGGAGACACGCGTTCGATCCCTGGGCCGGGAAGATCCCCTGGAGAAGGAAATGGCACCCCAGTCCGGTATTCTTGCCTGGAATCCCATGGACAGAGGAGCCTGGCGGGCTACAGTCGATAGGGTCACAAGGAGTCAAACACGGACTGAGCAACTGAACCCACACACACAACCTCTGAACCGCAAATTAATCATTTTGGTGGCGAGACCAAGTTTTCCCACATCAGGGTTGTGTTCAGAGTCATCTCATCTTCCTCCTCTCCTGACCTGGATTACTCTGGGGCCGGGGGGACAGTGTAGACTCTGACACCCGGGAGGCCCGACATGGCCACACAGGTGTCCGGGTGCGGTGCGGGGTGTTGCGTGGCTCACACGCCCTCGGGGACGCGGCGCCTGTGTGCGGCAGTGAGATCAGCGCCAGCAGGAAGAGGAGGCACGCCCCTGCCTTTGGAGAGCTTCCTGTCCTCCAAGGGGTGTGCGTGTTGGTCTTGAAAACACTCTAAAATACTATGCTCATGATCAGAGAAGGGGGGATGGATGGATGGCTTCCTGGAAGAGGAGGATTTGCAGCAGGGCGCTGAAGCCTGGGAGTGCTTGAGTGGGGAGTGGGCAACACAGACCCTTAGAGTCAACAGTTCTGAGTTGAGACACCAGCTCTGCCTGTTATGTGACCTTAAGCAAGTTACTTAATCCTTCAGGTGGGAGAACAGACTTTTTAGAACCGAACCCTTATACCCAGGTTCAGTAGAAGCTCAGTAAAAAACATATCCCTTTCAGTTTAAAGATGGGAAAGAATTTTTTTAAATAGGAAAAGAGCTTATATCTGGGGGGCAGTGGAAAGACAGCATGCAGAGACATTCGGGGAAGGGGAGTAGAGAGGCTTTTGGGGGGTAGAGTGCCTGGTTTTGCTTCTCATGCAGTGACATTCGTCATTTTCCACAGAAATGTAAGCCAGTCCACTCTTTGCCCTGCAGAGCGCGGTCCTTGTGTCTGACTGTCTTCTGGTCTGTTTGTCGTCAGCTGGCTCTCCGAGTCCCAGCTGTGCCCATTAACCACGTCTCTCTCGTACCCAGGAGTGCGCCCACGCCAGCCCGCTGCTGCCCGGCCGTCGGCACACTGTATAATACCAACACTCTGGAGGCTTTCAAGGCTGCAGATAAGAAGCTACTTCTGGAAGAAGCAGCAAACGAGGTTAGCTGGGAAATGCGATGTACCCGTTGTCGTGTCCACGGTCCCGCGGGCACGCAGTCGCAGACCAAGTGCCTGAGTCTGCCACAGAAGCTAGCGTGTACCCGGCGCTCAGTCGTACTCAGGGCCTTCTGCAGCGATGGGTGGGTCAGGGACGAGCCAGCCAGGCTCTTGCCTGAGGAGGTCACAGCAGAGAAGGGAAGCGCTCGCCGGCTGGCCTCCGGTTAGCATCCTGCAGCAGCTCAGCCTCTCTGAGTGTGCCAGCGCATGCCCGTATCTCATGCATTCGGGTTCTCTGTTCCCAGTGCCCCCCAAAGAGGCTTTCTAGTCCCGAGCGCTGTCAGAGCCCGTCATTCTCTCCCACGTCCTCAGGGCTGAATGGAAAGGCTCCGTGGGACTTCCCGGGGCCCCCGTGACCCTGCCTCTGGCCCCATGGCCTTCCATCCTGTCACTCTTGCTCTCGCCGTCTCTGACCACTCAGGGCGGATCAGGGAGCATTCCTCCCTTCACTGCTTTCTGCGGTCCCCTCTCTCCCTGGGACACGATGGCTTTCCCTGCCTGGAATGTCTTTCCTTTCCTTCTTCACGTCTGAGTTAGTGTGAGGAATAAGTGGGGCCCGGTTTATCCCGGCCCTCTCTACCACCTACTTCATCAATGAGCTTCACCCCGGTGAGTCTTACATACAAGGGGACCGTGATCAGAGAGGGCTGTCCCCTGCCTCGGGCCTGGGGAAGGCGTCCCTCCCACCCCTCGTAATGGGGGGCGATGGTTGCCTTCCTCGGCCTGCGGCGTGACTGCTCGTGGGCTCCTGCGTGTTTCAGAGCCCGTCTCAAGAGAGTCGGTCGGCTCTTAGGCTGTCACTGGAAACAGCAGGCTGCTCCCCAGGGAATCCCAGCCCCATCCCGTGTCCGGGCCCAGCCTCCCCTTCGGTTTGTTGGGAGTGAGGCTGCCTCTCCTGGGCTCCAGCTCCTCCAAGCTCGGTGTTTCCACAGCGGACCTTCTCTCTGCTTGTTCCCTCTTCCGCTCACGCATGTGCCGGGCTTTCTGGTAGCACAGCCGTCTGTTTCCTCAGTGGCCCAAGGTTTAGCCTCCAGGCTTAGTTCCTGAAACGTCCGACCGGGACCCGCTTCTGCTTCCGGTCACAGTCCTTCCTAAGTATCCATAAACTTGATTTTTCTTTTTTTCTCTTCAGGGAAAGATTATACCAAATAAGACTTTTAGAAAATGCCCTGTACATAGTTCAGATCATGGCCTCTGGAGCCCGTCCCTGGCTGTTTCCCCTCCCCTGTCCTTAGCCGAGGTCAGGGTTCCTCCCAGGTACTGTCCACCCGTCTGCAAGATCCCCTGCTGCCTGGCGTCATACAGACACGGGTGCCCAGCTCTCTCCCAGGCTGTTAGCTTCTGGAGGGCGGGGACTGTGCCTCTTTCTTCTGTATCCCTGATGTGCTTGCTCTGTAGTTGACATTAAGTAAACACCTGTGGAAGGCAGTAACCAGGGCACGAACGGGCCGGGTTTCCTTCTTGACACTGAGACCTAGCAAGAGAGAGGATGCTTCTGGACTTTCCTGTGTCTCTGCAGGGGGCCCAGGATGAGTGTGCTGGGCCTGTGGGCAGGAAGGCTCCCTGCCCTGCAGCTCCGCGTGTTCCTGGGAGGGAGGTGGGAGGAGACCCCGGGCCCTGCCTTGATGCTCCTCCTCCTCTCGGCAGATCTGGGAATCCATCAAATCGGGGGCCGCCCTGGACAACCCTGTGCTCCTCAACAAATTCCTCCTCTTGACATTCGCGGTAAGTCCACGGGCTCGGTGGGGTCTGGACTGTGGACTGCCCTGGCCGAGCCCAGGGCGCTGGTGGGACAGTCAGCTCTCTTCTCTCAAGTCACGCCTGTTGAACCAATCCTTGGGTGGTTAGTGACCCGGTATGGCTGGCATTTCTCACTGATGCAAGATTAATTCATTCTCACCAATCGTACTGGTGGTGGTTGCCTGGTTTATGTGACAGGGAGACCCAGCTGTCGTCATTTGAGCATGTGACGACACGTTCTGGGTTCCGGGAGCTGGGTCCATTGCTGCTAACATCTTTGTTTAGTTCAGCTCCGCAGAGCTCAGTTGCTGGGTCCATCGACGTAAGGAACAGGTGACGACTTGAGGATCTAAGCCATCTCCAGGTGACTTCTAGACGAGAGGGGGTCACCCTGCATAGCTTGTCCACACAGTCGTGTTTTGTATTTTTGTTTTTTTAACAAAGGAAATGTTTTATGTAAGTGAGAGCTAATTAAAATGAACTTTAAGGGCAGCTTTGAAGAGGAGAAGAAACCGCATTAGGGGAACAGCTGTTGCCCAGGGAAGCAGGGGGAGGGAGTGTCAGTGATGGGGCACATGGGGAGACGGTGAGGGCTGGTTTTAATAGAAGTGCCAGGCTACCCACACGCGTGTGCCTGTGTGTACACACATATGCGTGCGTGTGTGTGTCTCCATAGAACGCTCGTTTACCCTTTATCATTATGTGGACATTATAGTATTCTGTCAAATATATGTTCTATAGACCTTTTTATGTCTAAGTTGTTTTCAGTATTCACTATTTTATTTTACTTCTGACTGCACCACGCAGCATGTGGGATCCTAGTTCCCTAACCAGGGGTCGAACCCACGACCCCTGCACTGGAAGCAGTCTTCACTACTGGACTGCAAGGCAAGTCCCCAGTTTTCACTATCATTAAAAAAAAGTCTGAGTGAACATTGTCATCCACACTGGTTTTATTTTCCCTCTGATTTCTTTAGAAGGCAGCCCGTTGGAGTGGGCCTGTAAATGTACTGATGTCGACACGCGTTAAGCACGCAGGTTGTTCACCCCAGCTTTATCCGCTTCGGATATTAATCCTCTTCCCTACATTTTTCTTTCCTTCTTTCGGTTTGCCAAGTTACAGGTCTTGTCTTCCTTCCTCCCCCACGAACTCGTCCTCCGATTCTTCCTCCTGCTGCCTCTCTGATGCACCACCCAAGGCAGAGGGGAGAGAGAAAGGATTCAAACTGGGGGTCGTACCCAGAGTCGGGGGCGGTGGGCATGGGGCCCTGCAAGGAGCACATTTCTTAACAAGTTAAACTGCTTTCTGTGTGTCAGTGGTGAGATAGAAAAGCACCAGATACTTCAGGGGATTACTAGATACAATTTGGCTTTGATATTTTGTAAATTTGAGTAATTTTGTAAGGGTAAATAAAAGCAATGCTAATTAAAGTTGTTTTTTTTTCTAACTTTACCATCTATACATCTTCTGTATTAAGAGTTCTGGCTAGTAAAATCTAATAGACAACTTGTATTTAATGAGAAAACAGCATTGGATCTCACTTAAAGCTTTAACGCATCTCCCAGAGTCATTATGTGAGTTGGCCATGTTGCCGTTTCTACTGAGTGTTCTTAGCCTGTGTTTAAAAAAAATTAAAAGTCTCTGTCTTCAGAAACCTGTCAGACACAAAGGGCTTTATGTTTGATGTAATCGAGGTCTCTTGTATCCTGAAAAACATCCTAAGAAATTCAAGCCTTTTGACTCTTGAAGATGACCTGATAAGAGCTCTTAGAAACGGCTAAGGCCTTCATCTTGAATCGTTTAACCTTTTGCTAAAGATCAGTTATGACAAATCATTTAAGCATGTGGAAGAGAGAAAAATCTCTAGAGGTGTTTTTCTTTCCCTTCTGCTCTTTCTAGGATTCCAAGGTACAAACACTTTATTAATTTCCATTTTGCAGTTTGCTTTGCTGTTGTTAAAGGGAATTTGTCCTTAGTTGATCAGTTAGTGGCAGAAATAAAGACTGTGGAAACTATAATGATTAGTCTTCTTCATCTGGACATGTGTTTATGTGTAAGTTTGTTTTTAAAAAGTCACCTAGTATGACTCCATTTGTTTGGAAAGTCCAGAATAGGCAAAGCTATAGTGACTGGACGTAGGCTAGGGGTTTCCAGGAGATGAGACTGAGGTGAGTGGAGAGTTTCTGTGAATGATATTTCTAACTAATAAACCAGTGGGGAGTTTCTGCTATTCGGGTTTCTTTTCAGGGGCAATGAATACTTTCTGAAATTGGTGGGGATGGTGGTACAGCCTTGTCAGTATACTAGAAAACCACTTAATATGCTTTAACATCTTTAACGTGGTGACTTCTTTTTTCTGGCTTCATTGCCTTGTGTGGGCTCTCTCTAGTTGCAGCGAATGGAGGCTGCTCTCTAGCTGAGGTGCCCGGGCTTCTCACCGCAGTGGCTTCTCTTGTCGGAGCACACGCTCCAGGGTGCGTGGTCTCAGTAGTTTCGGCTCCCGGGCTCTAAGGCACAGTCCAGTAGTGTGGCGCTCAGGCACTTGGGATCTTCCCAGACCAGAGGTCGAACCTGGGTCCCCTGCATTGGCAGGCAGATTCTCACCCACTACGCCACCAGGTGAGTCCAACATGGTGGCCTTTATGGTACATGACTCATACCTCAATGAAAAGTCATCAAGCATCCATCCCCTCCTGATTCCTAGCAAGATTCGAGAGGAAATATCAAGTAGCAAAATAAATTACAAAGTGGTCCGTGGTAACAGGCTGGTGGGGAAGCTGGCAGGTACCCACATGACCATAGGATCCTCCCACATGAGTGACTCAGGCCACACCTGCTACAGAAATTCACAGACGAGAACATTGGACCTGAGTGGGGACAGCCTTACAAGTCACTGGCCCCTTATCGCCTCCCCTGGTTGGGGAGCAGTCACATACACCCCTGAAGGCACAGCCTCTTCTATCGTCAGTGCACCTTAGTTCTTGGAACGTCGTCTGTGACTCATCCAGCTACTCAAGTGCTTGTTTCGTCTCTGTTCCCTGCAGTGACTGAGCTACCTGAGCGCTGGGCTGAATTTTCTTCATCTTCTTACTGCTGGAGTATCTAACATTCTGCCTTGTACACAGCAAGTGCTTAGTTGGTGACTTGAATTTCACCAATACGACATTCCTGAAAACCCTGTTATATTATCTCAGGTTATGCGTAGCATGTTCTAATAACTTTAATAGCATGCTTAGTTAATTCAGTTGTGACAAGAGTGGTAACTGTTTGGAAGTTGTACCTCCACAGATGGCACGCTGGGTACGCCTGGTACCATGGACAAGAGCTTACATTTTGGAAGTAGAATTCTACTCTCTTCTCTGCCACTTAGTATCTATGTTCAAGCGTTCCACCCCTCTCTAAGCTTCAGTTTTCTGTCTATAAAATCTGCTGATAATAGTTACCTCCCAGGGTGATTTTATATGTTAAACAACGATGACAACAACATCAGTTACTTATTGAATACTTTCTATTAGCAAGTGGTCGATAAAATATTTTATGTCTATCCTGATACATTAGTGTTAATGTGTGGGAACATTTCAGATAAACATGGAGGTTCTGTCGTCTGTCATGAGTTCTGCTGGGAGATTTCTGACAAGCTGGTCATTTCTCGTGTGCGTTAGTTTTTCTGTCTTATGTAGCTGTTGAGAAGTTAACGTTAGTAGGCGCATTTCCGTGTGATCACCGGTGCTGTTCTGATATGTTGTATTGTTTCTTCCAGGATCTAAAGAAGTACCACTTCTACTACTGGTTCTGCTCCCCCGCTCTCTGCCTTCCAGAGAGTATACCCCTCATTCAGGGGCCAGTGGGCTTGGATCAATGGTTTTTGCCAAAACAGGTATCAACAAATAAAATGCAGATCAAACTGGGTTTAAATGTGTATCTGGCTCATTCTAAAGACAGACCTGCACTTGTCTGGATGAGGAGGCAGTCTCTGGAACCCTCCAAAGATGGCACTAGGAGCAGACTTACTCACCCAGTGTTTTGTAAACGCGTTTGAAGCGTGGTCAGCAGCGCTTGTCCAGGTCCTCGTGACCTGTGCTGAGACGCTGAGCCAGTAGGGAAGAATTACAGAAACACTTTGAAAGGCTGTGGGGATTTGCCAAAGCGTGACTCCACTCTCAGCGGAGACAGTCTTTACAACCGAAGAGAAGACTTCTTCCTTCCTTTGTGCCACGTTGCAGAACTTCTACATTAAGGATGGTCCCTACAGAGCTAGTCCTTGCAGTTGAAGGAAGATAATAAGGTCATTAGACGTGGTTCCCAGAAGAGCAGTGAAAACCATCAAGTTGGTAGAAGACAGACCCTCAGCCCCCAAATTCTGATTGTTATTGAGGCAAATACTGAGTGTCAAGATGACTTGAATTCACGAAGCATGTCACTCACTAAAGCCCAGAAATCCAAAGCCAGGAAGAGCCCTTGTTAATTAAAAAGCTCATTTGCTAAGATAAATCAAAGGTTGTGGTTCTGTGGATTGAATTTTCTAAGGAGAAATACAAGTGGGAACAAAAGAATAGGCCTGGGCATTGAGTGCTGATGGGTTGGAGGTTTCTCTTAATGGGGACAAAATGTTCTCAAATTATTGTGACCAATTCCTGTGAACGTGCTACAAACAGCCTTGAATTGTGCTTTGTGAATGAGTCAGTTGTATGATAAGTAAGAGAAAGCATGTCTCAAGGGAGCTATTGAAGATTATAGAAGGAGTCAGGGCAAAATCCATCCATGGTAGACTCATGCTTGTTTATCACAGGTGAGGCTTAGTGTCTGGACGCCTCTCTAAACCTTTGTGGTGGCACCTTAGGGAACTGGGAGCCATCATTGCTAAGGGTGCCATAAAGTATTTGTCTGTGCTCCTGTCTGAGACACTCCAGCATGCACATGGGAAGCATTATCTCAAAGTGAGGTGGTGTGATTTGGGGCACTCTTAGGTTTGGTTGCTGCAAAAGAGGAACAGGTGTGATCAATCACTTCTGGTCTTCTAGCCTGAAAGTATCTTTTATTGTATGTTAATTTTTCTCAGTTCAGAGCTAGGTGAGTAGTTGTCTGGAGAATAACTCAGTGTTTCCTGATTCCAGATTCAAGCCCTGGCACACGCGTATGATGGCCTTTGTCAGGCAGAAGGAGTCCCTGCGCTGCCTTACTTCCTAATCAAGTATGATGAGACCACGGTGCTGGTCTCCTCGCTCAGACACTACAGCGATTTCTTCCCGGGGCAAAGGACAAAGGTCAGAGAGACTTTGAGGGGCGTTTTACTATCCAATGGGAAAATCTGATGTTCATGTTACGAGAGACCACTGTGAAATTCCAGCTCATTTAGGCTTCTTAAGCCTTCCAGAGAAGGTTTCAGAACATCTCCTCATCTTCACCATCCCCCACCCCTTCACTTCCCAAATCAGGACCCCCTCCAGGCTTTCTTAGCTCTGTGGCGCCTCAGAGTAATTGTGGATTCCTCACGTCCTCAGTTTTTCTTTCTGATACACTTTCTATCTGTGCTTTAGTCATTGCCAGAGCTACGGCGACAGTGCAGACTCTGGTCCTCTCACTCCTGGTCGGTGATGGTCTCCAGCCCGCAGGGGTCTCCCTCGGCCCCGTCATGTTCCCCGTGCCGCTCACTGAGCAAGAGCTCAAGACACCTGCCTTCGGCCCCCAGGCCAGCTTTCCTCCTGTCTTCCCCTGTTGTCCTCATGAGCCATTGCTCCCGCCAAGCTCCTCCGTTTTCACCACAGCCCCGCTAAGCAAACAGACCCAGAAGTGTCCCTGTGTCTTGTCTTTGTCCTCATGTTGTTTGGTCTTCCTGAAGTAGGTCCTGCCTGTGGGGCTGCTAAGAGACTCTGTCCCGTTGTCAAAGCCCTGCATCCATGGAGAGGCCTTCTCGTGTTCAGGTGTGACCTGTCCCCTCGGAGCTCACCGCCCTGGCCCCAGCCTCCCCCGCCTCACTCCCCTTCTCACTCCCTTGCACACACTGCAGGAGGGCAGGGACCGAGTCCCACAGTATCTGCCTCAACGTAGTGGCCAGCCCTCGCCTCAGGCCCTCAGTAAAACTCTTTTGAATGAGGGAAGGAGTACTGTGTCTTTTAGATTTGATGAGATAGATAGGAAGCTGTCCTTGCCATATTAAGACACTGAAAATTAAAAATAAAATATTGATGATGAGTATCATGCAGGTTTGAAATCAAGTGGGAGAATTTCAGTCACCGTGTAGGGACGTCAGAGCTGAGATGCGACAGGCCTCTTGCTGGTGCCTCTTCCTTGGCCTGAACTTCAGGTGCCTTTTTTTTTTAAGTAGATTTTTTTCTTTCTCACCTACACTAGCATTTCTTTGTCAGAGGGAGCCCTCTTTAGATTGATGACTGAGGGTTGGGTTTTTATTATAATTCTTGCCCCTGGCCCCACACCAGTCAGGTTCACAGACCTGTAGCTAACTTAGCAGCAGCGAGACCATTCATTGGTGCTTCAAGGCCCCGTTGAGACAGCAGATGGGGCAAATCGGCCTGGCTTTGAAAGCGGCTGGAGTTCAGGTTGTGCATGGTGAAGACATGGTCTTCCCCTGGAGGGCGGCTCTGCCAGAGCAGCAGCTGGCAGAGCACTTGGCAGTTTAAAGGGGGCTTTCACGTGCTCTGTCATGGAATAACGTCGTGGCATAGGTATTCTCAGTACCTGCGTTTCCTGTTTTTATTTATTTTTGGCTGTGCAGGGTCTTTCGTTGCTGTGTGCCCGCTGTCTCTGGTTGAGCTTGCAGGGGCCGCTCTCTAGTTGTGGTGGGCAGGCTTCTCCTTGTGCTGGACTTCTTTTGTTTTTGGAGCACCGGCTCAAGGGCCCGTGGACTCCATAGTCATGGCACACGGGCTTAGTTGCCCCGAGGCATGGAGGATCTTCCCAGACCAGGGATCGAACCCATGTTCTCTGCCTTGGCAGGTGAACTCTTAATCACTGGATCACCAAGGAAGTCCTGCATTTTCTCTGACAAAAATGAGACTCAAACGGCTGAATTGTCTGGTTCCGAAGCCCATGCAGTTTCTTCCATTTAGTTCTCGAGTGACTGGGGGAGAGGTGGACCCTGCTTGCCATTTGGAATCAAGTAGGTCTGGCTTCTAGTGTTGCCACCTCGTAGGTCTGTGACCTTGGAGAATGTGCACACCCTTGCATCGCCCAGGTCTCACTGTCCATGGTGGTGACGCTACCGCCTGTGTGTGCATCCTTGCTCAGTGGTGTCTTATTCTTTGAGACCCCGTGGACTGTATAGTCTGCCAGGCTCCTCTCTACCCCGACACTGCTGACAAGGAAGAAATGCGATGATGTGGATAATGTGCCCAGCGTGCAGCAGGTGGGCAGTGCATGTCCACTTCCTTTCCTTCTCAGCAGCAGCTGGTTTTTAAAGCCTGAATAGCTCTCTGGCGTCTCCTACGAAGTGGTCTGGGCGAGTTGGTGAGGCCCCTGACCCAGAGGCCAACCACCACCCAATTTGGACACAGAATCCTTCACTGAGTTAAGGTCGTATCTCAGGAAAAGCCTGGCATGGCTCCGCACATATCATGAGCACCTCCGGTGAGCCAGAAATTGTGAAGTATGATTGCACCTGTTCTTGTGGAATCCGAGCCCTTGTAGGAGCAATGAGACATTGACTTGTGGAAAGTTCGCTAGAAATTCAAGTCACGGAAGAGAAGGGCCAGCGAAGCGACACGGATACTTGGTGGTTTATCTGCGCCTCTGGGTCCAGTCTTGCTCTAGGAAGGACTACCAGGAGCTGCACAGACTGGTGGGCCCTCAGGATCTTCATGGCCTCGCGGCCAACCTCCCTTGGGTGGTCCTGGGTCCCATCCACCCCTGCCGTGCTGCCGGATGCATTTTCTCACACAGCAATCGGATCGTGTCCCTCTGCTACCTGAAACCCCGCTGTGGCTCCTGTGGTCTTCAAGACAGAGTTAGAAAGGCTTAGCGTTCAGGGCCTCCTCAGACCTGGTGCCTGCCCATCCCTCCCACCTCACCTTCGATTGCTCCCCAAGCTGTGCCCTCCAGACGCCCCGCCCCCCTCGTCTTCTCCCCATCTTCCCGCCCTAGGTCATGCCCAGCCGGTGTTCTTCCTGCCGCTGGCCAGTGCCTCACCCCCGCCTTCGCAGTTCACACCCTGGAAGCGCTGGCGGGTCCCGGCACTGGTTGACACCTCTCTTCTGGGTGCTGGTCGCGGTCCCTCTCTGGGCACCGACTGGGCTTGCGTGCCATCGCTGGTTTGCCGCAGGTCATCTCAACTGGGATCCCTGATCAGCCTGTGAGCAGCTGTCACACCGAGACCGTGTTACACCCCACAGTACAGGCCCCACATGTAGCTTGATGCCAGACACTTGACTGGCACACGGTGTGTGTGTGAATTTAGAGAGGAGACAGCTGCTGATCCTTGTGGACAAGCACGAGGCTGGTGAGCACGGAGACGTCCCAGGAAAGCAGGACTGGAGCAGAGCCCTGAAGACATGAGGGGTTCCCAGGTGGCTCAGCTGGTAAAGAATTCAGTGCGGAAGACCCGGGTTCGATCCCTGGGTTGGGAAGATCCTCTGGAGAAGGGAGAGCCTACCCACTCCAGGACTCTGGCCTGGATAATTCCAGGGACTGTCCATGGGGTCGCAAAGAGTTAGACCTGACTGAGCGACTATTTCTTTCTTTCTGGAGATGTGATGTCTGTGAAACCTAGCTCTCACTTCACTCAAGCCTGTTCCTGCCTCATGGTGTGAACCCTGCTCACTTGCTTTCACATAATTCCACTTCCTCTTTCGTGTTCCTTGAGTCATGAACTTTCCTTGAAATTTTTTATCCTGTCCTTTGAGAAACAGGCATTCTCTTCTACATGAATTCCTGCCTTTGTGCTCCAGCTTCCTGTTTTACTCTATTTCGTGCCTCCTCCTCTTACCAGGGACTTGGACCCTCGAGAAGCCACTGCTCCTCTATCAGCCCTGCCCTGATATCTTCACATAGAAGCTGGAAAACTGTTGGAATCCCTCTAGGTTTCTCTCCTTTTAGTCTGCTTTCTCTTCTGGGAAACCTGGTGCCCACAACCCTACTGACCACCTTCTCCAGCCTGAACTTCCCTCTGGACCCTGGCCTGCATTATCCAATCCCCTGCCTGCCTTCTCCAGCACCTCGAATTCAGTATGTCTGAGTTGAACTCAAGGTCTTCACCCCAAGTCTGCTCCCCTCCTGGGCATCGCTGTCTTGTAGCGACACAGTCATCTATCCGGTCACGAGGGCTGGGAATCTGGGCAGCCAGCTGGACACCTCTCTGTCCGCTACCAGCACCATATCTGTGGGTTTCACCTCCTAAACTTCTCTTTGTCTGCCGCCTCTGCGTTTCTTCTGCCACCTTCCCGGCCTGAGCGTCACGACCTTTCATCTGCTTGCCCGCAGTCGCTTCCCAGAGGGCTCTGTGTGCCTGCTCAGGCCTACCCCCAGTCCGTCCCCATATCATCCCAGGAAGTCCCCTGAAAAGCAGATCTGATCGTGTCACTCTCCAAATGAGGCAGAGCAATGCTGTCTCTCCTGTGCTCTAAGAACCCAGGTCCCCCGTGTGGCGTGCAGAACCCCATGTGCCCGGGCCCTGTGCGGATCTGTCCCTGGGTCCCCCATGCAGAGGACCCCATGTGGCCAGGCCCTGTGTGGATCTGTCCCCGGGTCCCCCATGCAGAGGACCCCACGTGGCCCGGGCCCTGTGCGGATCTGTCCCCAGGTCCCCCATGCAGAGGACCCCACATGGCCCGGGCCCTGTGTGGATCCGGCCCTGGCTCCCTTGGTGCTCCCCTCGGCGTTGCTGACTGCCCTCCCCCTGCAGGGTTATGCCTGGAGCTCCCGTCTCCTTTCTCTTCTTCTGCCTCCTCTCTTCCCAGTTTCTTCAGAGTGAAACCTACTCATGCTTCTTTGAAGAAACCCCGCCCCCGACTTCCGTAAAATGGTTTATTCTGCCCACAATGGGTACTCATAGCACTCCATTTACTGAAAATCATTTAATCTCCTGTACAGTTTCTAATGACTCAGATTATACTACCTTCTGTTTTATTTTAGCATAATATTAAACTCTGCATCAACATCCTTTTTAATAAATATGTATCATTGTGAATTTCTCAAGTTTCGGACATTTAGATTTCTCGTAATTCTTCACTATTAGGAGCTTCTTTATGCCTGAAATCCCACCCTCCCTGCCCTCCCCTTTGTACTTTGAATTATTTGTTTCCTTAGGAAAGAT